AAACTCTGGAAGATGTGGAATTCTTCACGTACCTGGGAAGCATCATCGATGAACAAGGAGGATCAGATGAAGACGTAAATGCGAGGATTGACAAAGCTAGGACAACTTTCCCACAACTGAAGAACATATGGCACTCAAAACAACTTTCAACCAATATCAAAGTCAGAACAGTTCTACTGTACGAAGCTGAAACTTGGAGAACTACCACAACCATCATCGAGAAGGTACAAGTATTTATAAATAGTTGTCTACGCAACATACCATCAGCAACAACCTATCGTGCAAGAGAGTAAACCAAGTTCCAAGTGAACAGGAAATCGGGAAGAGACGTTTGAACCGGATTGGACAAACATTACGGAACTCATCAAACTGCATCACGAGAGCTGTATTAACTTGAAATCCTGAAAGGAGACGGAAAAAAGGAAGATCGAAGAAGACACTACGTCGGGAATCGGGAGCAAACTTGAGAAGGACGGATAATGGCTGGAAAGGACAGAAGGGGATCGCCCGGGTAGGGTTGAATAGAGAATGTTGGTGGATGGCCTACTCTCCTCCATGAGGGTAACAAGCGCGGGCATGCAAGTAGTCATTTATTTTGATAAGTTTGCCAGTGTACTGTATATTTGCCTACTTGACCTACTTTCCTGATACTAACAAATTGATAAGCTGAGTTAGGTTACGTGCTATTTTAGGTAGTTTACGAGCAAAGTGTAAGTGAAGTATCCTTTTTAAGAAGAATTTTTAAAAGAGATCAGTGGTCTTGAATTAGTACATAAAAGTTACGTGGTATTATTTCGCGCATCGTGAAGGCCAAGTTAATCTTAAAAAGAGCTAGGATTGGAGCCGTGACTAAAAAGAGGAGGCAACGGCTCAATAAAGTTTTATAATCGAACACCTTGTGAACACAGGTCACTCAATCAAGACAGACTCTGCATTCAAGGTCATCCACAAGGTAGGTAGAAGTCTTCCGAAGACAATTAAACTGCATCTTTTTCGTATTGCAGAAGCGGTAGCCATACATCTGGAAAAATCAGAATTGCGTGTGCAAAAGAGACTGGTTAACCTCTTCTTCTACCACGATCTTAATGTATTAAAAATGTTCTCTCTTTTTCATACTCTTGTTCCTTTACAGTCATTCGCTTCACCTTCGATCTTCCTTTTGAATCTTCTACCCCCAACTGGTTTATTTTTATTTCCACGATTATTCCGATTACATTTCATCTCTATTTCAACATTATATCTTACCATGCTGAGCCATCCTTTCTCAATCACAGTTTCCCTGTCTATCTTTCGATGAATACTTAGGCCAAAGACAATCAAATGATTATTAAACTTTCCTTGTTTAAAAAAATTTTAATACCTTTTTTTAGCGACCGAACAACCAATATTCGGTTGGAACAACGGACTGACAAACCCAAAATTTATTCGATTAGGCCAAACCACGTTTCTCTGTATAGCTCACAACGTGTTTTTGAGATACTCATATTATATTATATCAAAACACAAACTCTGTGCTCAATATAGACGGTTCTAATTTAGAAAACAGAACAAATTACATCAAAAATACAAAATACCCGAAACGGTACAGCCTGTGCTATACAGTCAGAAATTTCTCTAACGCAAAGTAGCGCGCCAAACAATAAAAGAAACAGTTAGTACCAAAGGGTTCGATACCTGAGAATCGCACGTATCTACAATTTTGCGATAAAGTCTACTATTATAGTAGTACTAATAACGAACTAGACCATAATTCAACATCAATAAGACCGACTAAAAAAACGCGGCCTGATATTATTTTTCATGTTGACTTTAACGTATTTGATTGAATTTCACTTGTGCTAACCAGTTTCTCCATTAGTCTGTTGATTATCTCTCACGCGTATTATCGTGTTGTAATATGGATTAGTGCTCATAGCTTACCAGCTCGATCGATACTAATAACTGCCCATGTATATTGCATTGATGGCTCTTTTACAAGCTTTAGCAGCATTTATATGCTTCGGTGAGATAAACTTGTTAAAACACCAACCACTAGCAGATGTGGCACTTGATCGACGTAAGTACACATTATCTAGCAACTAATGTAAACAAGGATTGGAAAGTTATCCTGATCTAATTCTTTATTTGGTTTTTTCATCTAATATCTTATTCTATTTGAAGCTATGGACTATCCCTTAATATCCTTCCTTCTAACCACTGCCTGACTAATTTACAATTTTCCAGTTCCGCAGCCAAACAACAAAGACGATATTCCTGTAACTTCATATAAACTCAAGCTGTAAAGTTTCTAAAGTTTTAAGCTCATTGTTGCTCAGACATGTATATATCCGGATTCATGGAATTTTACTGAATCAATCGAATGGTAAGGTCGACACCACGCACGTCAGGGAATAAGTTGCAGTACTGCGTGTTCAGTCTGATTTTTCTCGGGCCCATAATATTTGTCACGGTTGGCTTTTTGTACGTCGCCATATGATAACATCTACACGAAAACAAAAATTGAATTTTTTGCAACATAAATGGGCCCGATGCTGACAGTCATAACCTTAAATCTTACAGGTGTCCCGCTAGATTGCTCAATCGACTAATTTTAATCTGGCTTTATCACAGAGATTCTCATCTTACATTTCAAAGATTTATATTCTACGGTGACATCCACTTCTTGACATGGTTCCGTTTTTGGGAGACTCCAATAAAGTACCACCCTTAGATCTGAGCATCTGTGAAAACATCTGGGGAGCACAATTCTCTCTCTATGAATCCGAATTTTTTCTTCCACTCCTGTTCAAAGTCAGGGATTAACTCAAAGACTGATAATAGGAGGTTAAGTACTTCATGCTACCAACATTTTCACATATTTTGAACAACTTATCAGTTCCATTGAGTGGATATCGGATGAAATCTTGGAGTGGATTGATAAAACTCAGTTGGTTATTATCAGCTTAGGTCAAAGACATTAGCTATTTGGTTCAAATTGTTCAAATGGTTGTGAACAGAATAGAAGAAGCTTTCGCTTAACAGGCTTCCGTGTCTAGTAGCAGGGGATCACCAAATCCTCCAGGCAGGAACCTAGGTATGTTAACAATAAAAGAGGAAAAAATTGGTAAATCATAGTATGATGCTGTCCTTGGTCCTTAAGAATAGGTCAAGTTACCTCTTGAAAGACTCCTGAGAAGTCGCTTGGACCAGCTCGGCCGGCAGCGAATTCCAGCTTTTGACAAGTCTTAAGGATTAGAAGTTATGTCTACGTTTCGTTTTGCTATGTTATGTTTCCAGTTTCTGGGTGCTACTCCTTAGGTTATTGTTCGAACCAAGCTTAAGTAGGTGTTTAAGAGGATGTCCAGAAGTGTTATTAATACTATAAGCCATTAATAAATCACTTCTAAGACGCCTATTCTCTAATGGGTAAAGGTCTAGTGAATGGAGGCGTTCTTCGTAAGGTTAAATTTGAATCCTCGAATTGATTTCGTGGCTCGCCGTTGGGTACGCTCCAAAGTGACCTTGTCCTTTGGAGTGAGGGGGGAGTACTATGTTTCCGTACTCTAAATGGGGACTAATGAAACTATTGAAGATTATATGGAAAGTTCTTCTCTCAAACTGTCCAGAAATGCGCTTCAACGTTACCAATGCAAGGTTTGCTCGGAAGGCATTTTTGTCACAGTTAGCGTAAGACTTTAAATCATGGGGCACCAGGACGCCTAAATCTTTTTCGACTTGGGATTCTACTAGAGAGGAGTTTCCTAAGTTGTAACTATAGTTTGCGACATGTCGCAGATGGACTACTTCACACTTTGGAGTGTTAAAGGTAAGTCCGTTATCGTCTGCCCAACTTTGAAGTCGAGTCAGATCCTCCTGAAATGCCTGTATATCGTCTTGGTTGCGTATCTCTCGCCAAAGTTTCACGTCGTCGGCAAAAAGTAATTAATCTGACGTTACCTGTTGAGGAAGATCATTTATGTAGATCGAGAAGAGAAGAGGCCCTAGTACTGAGCCCTGGGGGACCCCACTAGGACATTCCATAGCCTGAGATAAAGTGAAATTAACCCTAACCTCAAAGTGTCGATTTTTCAGGTATGAAGTAAGCCAATCGATTAGAGATGGTTTGATACCTAGTCGTTTGAGCTTATTGATAAGACATGTATGGATAACCTTATCAAAAGCTTTTGAGAAATCAAGGTAAATGATATCAACCTTCCCCTTGCTATCGAGGATGCTTGTCCATCCGTCCACCGCAGTCAGCAGGTTGCTTATACAAGAGTAACCCTTTCTGAAACCATGCTGTTGGGGTGACAAGAAATTTAAGGACAGTAGATAGTCGTTTAAACCGTCGCATATCAGGGACTCCATGAGTTTTGAAGGTAATGACAGAAGAGCCACCGGCCGATAACTTGAAGGTTCATTGCGTCGACCTCCTTTGAAAATTGGTGTGATGTGAGCCAACTTTCAATTTTCCGGAACATGGTCTGTGCAAATAGAGCAGGTTGCGTGTTTTGATCATAAATAACTTATAGACAGTTTCCGTGTATGATAGAATTACAGGTTGAGCACTGATGACATTATAGCATTGGGCAAACCAGTGAATCAGTGAACTTCCACCGAGTGAGACGAGTGAGGTATGTTTTATGCTCATAGTCGATGTTGACTGATACCTGAAGTCATATATTGCTGGAATAACCAGTTTTAAGGAAGGTGGACTGCTCTTACGGGTCTGAATAGCAACATAAATAATGGGTTATGAGACGGTTTCTGATGCCGCTAAAAGTCATTTTCAGTTAGCTCGCAAATTTGCACTCTTTATGTTTGTTGGTTACCAAGCGAGGGAAGTTTTCACCCACTATTGAATTAATTGGGAGGGTACTAGACATATGCATAAGCATGGTAAAAAAATTAATAAAGGCCGTCAGTCTTCTGTTCGGCTGATGACATCAACATGATTTTCAATATTCAATAAGCGTTTTATGTACATCACCATTGAACTTTTTATCATTCACTCATTGTATGAGTGTTACGCACAAAAGTTTAGTTTACATAAAAGATTACAGTTAAGGAGCCTGCGGGCATCTGGGACTCTCATTTATGAACACAACGATGTAGCGCAGCTGTTCGAGGCTTGGAGGTGGCGGGGATTTCTGTTTGACTGCATAGCCGGAAAGTACGCCAATGATTCGTTTCCCCAGTGGGACTGTTGACGGTCTCTCTTGCTTCTTATCTATCCCACATACCTTGCTTAATGCCTCTCCTCTTAATCCCGGAGGACTGACCATGCAAGGTATTGATGGCTCACCTTCCGGTCTCCCTTTCACAGGACACACTCCTTTTGTTAGGAACCTATGTTTGGGACTCAATTTACCTATCATAAATACCGCAAATATTATTCCTCCTCCGAATCTCGGGGTAGGCGTAGTACCTTCAGTTTCTTGTGCATCTGCAGGGTGCCAAAACCCAGTTTTGTGTTATCCTGTCTCAGTGACCCAAACGGCCCACTCGGTTATTGATTCTGGTCCATCTGATCCATCTGTTCACACGATTGTTCGTGGTCCAGTTATGTACACAAGCGCAGTAAGTATTTTTGTAGCTCAATCCAATTCTCCTTTGCATATTTTAATTAAGCTGTGTCATTACTGGTGGGGCGTTATGTTATGTGTTATTTAGACTTCATGTAGGTAACGCTGATGCAACTACTGCCTGTTCGATCAGCCTTGATATTATGAGTATGGAATATGTAACTTTTCCCTGGAACTCCATTAGCCCGCAACCAAATAAGTCTCGTAACTTTGTCCGGATTGTGACGCCTGTAGCTCATGTAAGGTGCTCTGCGTATTAGTCAGCCAGTCAGAGAAAACATCATGCTCAGTTCGGTTCTCACTACTTTGTGGTCGTGAACGTTTGTCAAAGTAAGTGTGCGAATGCTCTAAGTGTCTGGTCGTTTGTGTATTTGAGATATATCTCATTTAATGGGACTGTGGAGTGAATAATGCTACTCTTGACGTTTGGCTGTGCCAACAGACAAACTTGTATATGGGGAGTAGACGTTAGTTTGTTGAGGTGGCTTAAATTAGTGTTGCGCATACCCATCAATCGCCTACTCTAACACCCTATACTGACTCGTTTTGGGATAAACTATAAGGATTTAGACGTAGCTAAATACTATCATTCTATGATGTCACTAACTATTGAACTGAATCATGCGGAATAGTGCGAACTTCGTTATGTAACTAGATAATAACCCTTAATCGACAGTCTGGGGAACTCAAATGATGTATCTGAAAATCAGTCGCACTAATGGAGATGTATTGGCCCGATATTTATCCATAGGCGTCTATTCTCCGTATTATTTACTACTTTACTATCCTACTTCTTTTTTCTAATGATGTTCTATGTACTTGGCTTTTTATTGCCACAAATATCACTATTTCCACAATTGCTTTTTAAGTCGCTAATTTAGTGTCTCTGTGCTAATGCGAAGTATGACAACTTGTAGCGGTACATATTTGTCCCTAGTCGTGGTTTGATTATGACTGACTCACTGATTGCATTTAACCTGCTATCGGGAATGTTGTTCGATATTGGTTATTTCATTCGTATTAGGTATTTGTACCGTACTACTGCGTAGTGAATGTTGTAAACCTATTGTGCATGTTGTGAATGTTTAGCACTGAGATATTTGAGTTCCTGCTTTGTCATTACTTTTCTGAATTTTATTGTCTAACTCAATAATTTGTATATGGTGTCCCGTCTTCGTGTGTGGCACTTTGTTGTTAGTTAGGATCCTACCTGTTTTGTAGCATGTAATTTTGGTTTGGTGGGTTGAGTACGTAATTTGTTTTAAGAAATCAACTGACTGAGCATTTTATATCTTTAGTATGGGGCTGAGGAAATTGTTAAGTTTTTGATTGGGACCATGAATCTATTGATGTTAGACCACCACTGTTAAGTGACGGCTCAGTGGTCTAGAGGCTAAGCGTTCGCGCGCGACCAAAGGTCCTGAGTTCGAATCCTGCGTGTAGGGTAGTGGATGGATGCTGCTGAGTCACATACTAAGACGAAACGGCCGTCCAGTGCTTCCAGGTTTTCAATGGTGGTCTAACATCAATCGATTCATGATCTCAATCATCCTTATCCGTTGTATGAAGTAATTATATTTCAGTGTATTGGTTTTATCAGCCTGTTTTCAACTGGAATGCGCAGATATGTTTGTGGTATTTATTTCAGTACCCATAGTCAAAATGTTCAACGTATTGCAGTATATGATAATGGAAACATGAACTAACCTATCCACCAGCTATTCGGGTATGAGCTACACTCAAAACGCAATAGCTCAGGTTTTTAAGTCTCCACCAACCTGCTTCTCTCCTATTATCCGGCTGATTATGGTGAAATAAAGTGTGGTTTTGTTATATAGTGTTGTGGTGCGTTGGTTACTTAAGCTATACAGTAATTTGTTTTACTGTTCGGATTCACTTCGCCAACCATCTGCGAAATCTTAGAGCACTGTCATACCTATCACTTACCAACAATCGTAGTGTTTCTTGGCATCGGGGCCGCCTTCGATTCATTGAACACAACTGTTCTCCGGGATCGCCTATTGAAAAAGGATGTGTCCGAGAAGTTTACTAACATTTTGAATGCCTCATATACTATTACCTGAGGCAGAATAAGGGCATACAACCAGCTCTCTCCATTGTTTCACTTAATTAGTGGGGTTAGGCAAGGTTGCCCAATCTCACCATCCCTCTTCAACTTTTCCATCCATGATGTTCTGGAAACAGCTCGAATGGATGTAGATACTGGTCAGTCAGTCAGTCAGCTACAACGTAGGACCAGGCACGTATATGCATCGGTCTAAGTTATCACAGCACGGAAAGATGAACACCTAATTCATAGAAGCAGTTACTTCAATATTTCTAAGACATCTGGGATTAAATGCTAGTAACTCACAATTATTTTCTACTCTCAATGGCCACGTTTTGCAGCCATAAAGTAAAACAGAACGAACTGCTGCGCAGTATAAGTCAAGAAAAACTCATTGTCGGACGCCGATAAGCATGCCTGTGTTCTAAAACCTGACGAATGGTGTGGTCGATGCAGCCACGACCACGTCTGAAGCAAGCCTGATTTTCTCGTGTTTGCAGTTCACAAATCTTTGTTAGGCGTCCGATAATCATTGAGGCTAGTATTTTAGATGCTATATTAGTCAAACTAATCCCTCTATGGTTATTACAGGAAGATTTTGAGTGATGAGATCAATTCACGTATAGTGAGAGCCAGAGTGGCTCATGCCAATCTAGGCCATCTTTGTCACCTTCGTGGTTTTAGTCTGGCTGTAAAAGGTTGGATCTACAACGCTTCAGTGAATCCAGTTTTGCTTTATGCTTGTGGAAACTTGTCTCCAAGTTCAGCATGTTAGATTACACTGTGTCTGAAGAAGTGGCTTACATTGAGCCACGAATCGTCGGAAATACAATTGGGATATGACAAAAAATATTTATCATTAACTTTTTACCCACTGCTCAATTTATTTGAAACTACCAAGTTCGGCAGTGGCATTGATAGATTTTTTGAGTTAGCAATTGTAGGTAACAAAACTCTGATCGAATTTCCGGTTAAAATTGTAGAATGACCTTCAATCACCCAGCTATGTTAGTATTTCTATCCCTTTGTCATGTACTATACATTTGTTATAATTCACTTGTCGACGTAGATTTGCGGTCTAGGTTTATCTGGGCATCTAGTAATCTTTTGTGGTGAGTAATGATGTAAGGTTCTTATAACAATATCCCTTGGTTTTCTATTCTTTGGATCTCACTAGTTTATTCATGTTTTTGAATGTTGAGTAACTGTACTGTCTGATGGAATGTTGTTTGCTGTACTATGTATGCTTTAAATTTGATATGTGCTTTCATCAATTTGTCCAGATTATAGTTTGCTTGGTGTAAACCATTCAATGCAGAAAAATACTTGATATGCAGAGCTTACGATGATTAAGAATACTTAATTTTTATCGAATTTTCAGCATAGATTCATAGTTTAAAAGGGTATCCACTCAAAATTCGTCCGTTTCGTTTCATCACTGTCTTGTTTACAGAGTTATATTTTATGTAATTTTTCGTTGGTGCTCTTTTTATTGCTTTCTTACACTTGTTTCAGTTCAACGGCTGATTCACATTCGAATCGATTCATCTGCGCCTCTACTGGTTAATGGTAATCATAAATAAAACAACCTAGCACTCACAACTCTGTTTTTTGAATCATAATTATCTTTTTTTACTGTGGAGTCCTATTCATGTAAATGAATGATCATCCACCGTTTATTCATTGGTTTTTGTGATAGCTCTCATATATATATATATATATATATATATATATATATATATATATATATATATATATATATTTGAGAGCATAGTAAAACAATTTAGCCAGTGCTTTTCGTCATGTAATTTTTATGGTTGCATTCATGTTCGTCCGTATTTACTTCTACATATCTATGTGTTTATGTAGCATTTGCATTTGCACATTGTGGTGACTTTGCTTTTGTGTTACTGTTTCTTTTTAAAAAATTTTAAAAAAAGTAGTGCGTCGATTCAGTACTGGTTGTTAGCACTGTTCGCGCTTCGTGCTTTGCTCGCTTAATTTGTTTGTGAATATTGTCTTTCTAGTGTTTGTTTTTTTTGTTTACTTCATATCTTTTTCTGTACTTTCCTTCAGAGTGGTCGTGATTTGATTCAACGAAGTAATGGAATTCATTCTAGTAATGAGAAAAATAAAGAAGAAAGTCCTCCTGATCGTATTGTGGCTTCTTATGCTGCTGCAGCACATGCAGCTGCATTGGCTTGTCATCAACCGATTTCCAGAGCTGCTGAAGCTTATTTAGCCACAAACTCTTATAACCGATCACGTCATTCTAAAAGACCTCGGGCATTAAACAATTTGTCTACTGTCACACTATCAACAACTTCGAACTCACTGTCTACTTTGGTGGATACTGGATCAAATTATATTTCATCTAATTTATTATCAGTCCCTTCTTCTGGATCATCACTTATTTCATCAGAAGCTACTTATGAAGAATCGCATAAAGGGTGGACTCGTCTAGTGAATAAGAAAACGCAAAATGTAGTGTACATAACGTAAGTGTTGTCATCATTTTCTTCTTCATAGTTTGTATCTTAAGATTACACACCTTTTCAGAATAAATCCATGTAGTTTTTACCACCTAACATAAATATGAAATATCAGTGATCTTAATAATGTAAGGTCATATTTTATACCAAGTCAAATTCGTTATTATAACTAAAACTTAGAGGTAGTGTGACGTGAACATTTTGTCGAATAAATACATAACAAAGTTATTGGAACTTATTTTAGATAATTTTCTTGATGATATTAAGCAGAAAAGGAAGTTTTTACAATGGAAGGTTGTAAAGATTGCTAACTTTGTATAGGGTCTCTAATGAAGCATTCAGTGCATTGTTTATATAGATGGTCGAGAAATAGCTGAATTTGAAGATAAAAATCACGAAATGTCAACCTAATGATCTAAAAATAACATAGTGTCCACTAAGCTTAAAAGTTGAATGTTTCATCGTTGAGTAAGTTACACTTGGAAATTACTGGGGATTGCTATATTAGGACAAAGTAGTTGTCTAGTGCTCCTTGCTTTTCAATCATCTAGCTTAAATCGGTCCGTGAAGTATAGTGCAAAGTGGAATGCTACGGTACTTTGTAGTAAATATTCAACTTGTTTCAAGATTTCTCATCAGTGAATTGAGTTCAATATATAAGATGAAAATGTATCTCAGTATTTCAACGTCTATAATTAAGACCAATATAATATATCGGAAATTCACAGCCTCATCATCTCTACTCGTTCCTAGTTTATTAACTTATTTTATCTCCTGTAAGTTTACTATATCTCAATAGTTTCTTAATACCGCTTATTTTCTCATGAACTTTTACTTATGTGCAATATTGTATAACGGTGGCATGTCAAACTATTTTATTAGCGTTGGTTGAATCCTCATAAGTTTCACTTTACACTCTACTGATCCTGGTGCGGTTATGGTACCATAAAATAAGTCATTTAATACACAACTACCTCGTAGATCAGTACTTTCTGGATTTTTCGTAATGACCATTCAGAGAAATTTCTTGTACATTTACCTTATCTGCTTATATGAATGTCTGGCTAGCACTAGGATAGGTCAGCATCCTTTATATAACGATGATTTACATGATTTATGTAAATATCTTGAACGTAAAGTAGTTGTATTGCCTAAAACATTTTCTTTCGTTACCTATATATGTGACCCGACTGCAGCGCACTGTTCTAGGAACTTAAGTAAACAGTTCAAAAAGAATTTGGATTGATAAATAATTGCTAGTTTAAATGTCTTTTTACAGTTTACAAGTAGATTTAAAATGTAGACTCAAACATTCTGAGGCGATTGCCACAAATAATGAATTTCCTCACAATTACTGCTTATGGCATCTTTTTTTAACCGTGTGGTTACTTGAATTAACTGCTTTACTTGTCAAAGATGGTCATTTAAATTATAATGCTATTTCACTCTTTTGTATTTATGAGCCTAGCCTGCTTCATTAATTTTTTAAAACTGTACGTTTTTGATTCATGTTCAAAAGGACTCGATATATTTTTATACAACTCTGTTAAGTCATCATTTTATTGTATTGACAGGGAAGTATATCTTTAAATTTAAGTATTCTGTTTTTGTTGACTGAAAGTTGTATTCAGAACATAATTATGATTAGTTTACCTATTGTACATACAGTCTTAGTTTATTTCGTATGATCTCAAGTGTTTTTGCAACCTCAAGTGGTGTACGTCAAGGCTGTCCACTTTCTCCATTTTTGTTTAATTTCATCATAGACCTATTGATGGAAATAACATTCTCGTCTACTGAATTGTCGGGTATTGATCTCCTTCCAGGAGGCCAACTTATCGACTTAGAATACGCAGATGATATAGTCCTGTTTGGTGAAGACGCTGATTAAATGCAGAGTCTTCTGGTAGCACTAAGAAACAATGCCAGAATGTTTGGAATGCGCTTCCTCTCCCTCTAAATGCAAGCTGCTGCTTCAGGACTGGTCTGCGTCAACACCTGAACTTAGGATAGGGAGTGGAGTAATCGAACGCGTTGACAACTTCACTTATCTTGGAAGTCTGATCAGCCCTAATGGGTTGGTGTCTGACGAAATCTCAGCACGGATTCTAAAAGCTCGCTTGGCTTTTGCCAACTTACGTCACCTGTGGCGAAGGCGAGCAATCCGTCTATTAATAAAAGGACGAGTATACTGCGCGGCAGTCCGTTCTGTTTTAATTTATGGCAGCGAAACATGGTCATTAAGAGTAGAAGACACTCGTAAGCTACTAGTATTCGACCACAAATTACTTACTCACGCCTGTTACTCCCAATCGAGCATAGGCCACCGACCAGCATTCTACAACCCACTCTGTCCTGGGCCTTCTTTTCTAGTTCCATCCAATTCTTGTTCATTTTTCTCATGTCTATTTCCATTTTCCGGCGTAATGTGTTCTTTGGTCTTCCTCTTTTCCTTTGGCCTTGAGGATTCCATGTGAGGGCTTGTCTTGTGACGCAGTTTGGTGCTTTCCTCAATGTGTGTCCTATCCACTTCCAACGCTTCTTCCTCCGCTGTGATCTGGTTTGTTCTCTCCCACAGTAGGTTGTTGCCAATAGTGTCCGGCCAATGGATCTGAAGTATTTTGCGTAGACAACTGTTAATAAACACCTGTATTTTCTGGATGATGGCTTTCGTAGTTCTCCAGGTTTCTGCCCCATACAGTAGAACTGTTTTGACATTTGTATTGAAAATCCTGAACTTGGTGTTGGTTGACAGAGAGTTGTTTTGAGTTCCAGATGTTCTTCAGTTGTAAATATGCTGCTCTTGCTTTGCCGATCCGCGCCTTCACATCTGCATCAATTCCACCCTGTTGATCAATGATACTGCCCAAATATGTAAAGGTTTTTACATCTTCCAAATCTTCTCCGTCAATTGTGATTGGATTGGTGCATGCTGTGTTATATCGGAGAATCTTGCTTTTCCTTTTGTGTGTATTGAGACCTACTGTTGCTGAGGCTGCTACTACACTGGTCGTTTTCTCCTGCATTTGTTGTTGGGTTTGGGATAGAAGGGCCAGATCATCTGCGAAGTCTAGATCGTCCAACTGCATCCTAGATGTCCATTGTATCCCGTGCTTCCCTTCAGATGTTGACGTCTTCATGATCCAGTCTATCACCAGGAGAAAGAGAAAGGGTGAGAGTAAGCAACCTTGCCTGACACCGGTCTTTACTTCGAACGACTTTGTCAACTGTTCTCCATGCACGATTTTGCAGTGTAATCCATCATATGAACTCTGTATGATATTGACTATCTTCCGAGGCACACCGTAGTGTCGAAGAAGTTTCCATAGTGTTGTTCTGTACACACTGTCAAATGCTTTTTCGTAGTCAATGGAGTTGATGTAGAGTGATGAATTCCATTCAATTGATTGTTCCACAATGATCCGTAGAGTTGCGATTTGGTCTGTAAACGATCTATCCTTACGGAATCCTGCCTGTTGGTCACGAAGTTGGGCGTCTACGCAGTCCTTCATCCTGTCTAACAATACCCTGTTGAAGACTTTTCCCGGTATTGAGAGAAGAGTGATGCCCCTGTAGTTATCACAGTTGCTGAGATCGCCTTTCTTTGGTATTTTGATCAGAAGTCCTTTCCAGTCTGTTGGTACTTGTTCCTCATCCCAAGTCTTATTGAAGAGAATGTGGAGTATCCTTTCAGTTACCGCTACGTCGGCTTTTAGTGCCTCTGTTGGAATGTTGTCTAGTCCTTAATTTATTTTAACACATAGATAATGGTACAAAGAGGCACCAAATACATATGCGCCACACAAATCTCATTCGATATGTGTGGGGGCTGTGATACTACCCGGGTGCCCAAACCGAAGCAGGTGGTTTTCTTAGGAGGCCACTCCCCGTTGTCTGGTCCTGGTGCTTTTCCACTCTTGATTTGCCTGATGGCCATGCTTATCTGTTCAATTGTTGTTGGGCCAACATCGGTTGGGAGGTCCGTGGGTGCTGCTTCGATGTTGGGTGGGTTCAGTGGAGCTGGTCGATTCAAGAGTTCTTTGAAGTGTTCTACCCACCTGTTTCGTTGCTCTTCAATGTTGGTGATTACCTCGCCTTCCTTGCTTTTCACTGGTCGTTCTGGTTTGCGGTGATTTCCAGAGAGTTTCTCTGTTATGTCATACAGTTGTCTCATGTTTCCTTCTCTTGCAGCCTTTTCCGCCGTCATTGTTAGATCTTCTACATATTTACGTTTGTCGGTTCTGATGCTCCTCTTCACTTGCTTGTTTACTTCTGTATATTCAGCTTGTGCCTTGGCTTTTTCTGCACTTGTTCGGCTGGTATTGATTGCTGCTTTCTTGTTCCTCCTTTCTTGAATCTTATCCAGTGTGTCAAAAGTGATCCATTCCTTGTGATGGTGCTTCTTGTGACCCAGGACCTCATGACATGTTGAAGTGATTGCCTCTTTGATCCCCTTCCAGTTGCTCCCCATAGTAGTTTCTTCTCCATTGAGTAGATCATGAAAGGCTTGGAACTTATTGTTGAGGACTATCTTGAATTTGTTGAGTTTGTCAGTATCCTGAAGAAAGGCCGTATTGAACTTTTGTGATATTGTCCGCCCCATTGTCCAGTGCTTCTTGAGTTTCGATTTCATCTTGGCGACCATCAAGTGATGGTCTGATGCTGTCAGCTTCTCTCTTGGTTCTCACGTCCTCTATAGTCCTCCTGAACGTTTTGTTGATGCAGAGATGGTCGATTTGGTTTTGCGTGGTGTGATCTGGTGAAGTCCATGTGGTTTTGTGTATGCGTCTATGTGGGAATATGGTGCCGCCTATGACCAGTTTATTGAAGGCACATAGGTTTGCAAATCTCTCACCATTTTCGTTCCTTTCTCCCGGTCCGTGTCGTCCCATGATGTCTTCATATCCAGTGTTGTCCGTTCCAACCTTGGCATTGAAATCTCCCATCAGAATGGTGAGATCCTTTGTTGGGCACTTCTCGATGATTGACTGCAACCTATCGTAGAATTGATCTTTAGCTTCTTCATTGTAGTTGTTGATAAGCGAATAGCATTGGATGATATTCATTGAAATGCCCTCTTTCTTTGTTTTGAAGGAGGCTTTGATGACCCTTGGTCCGTGACATTCCCATCCTGTAAGTGCATTTTGTGCTTGTTTGGACAGCATCAATGCAACTCCTTGTGTATGTGGTGCATTTTCTTCTTCATGACCGGAGTATAACAGGAGCTCTCCTGTAGTTAGTCGTTGTTGTCCAACTTGCGTGCAGTGTGTTTCACTGATCCCAAGCACTTCTAGATTGTATCTCCTCATTTCTGCAGCAATTTGAAAGGCTCTCCCGGTGTCCCATATTGTACGAACATTCCATGTACCTGAATAAATGGTTGCTCTAGTTGTCAGAAGAGGCATCGGCCTCGTAACTTCCGAAGGAATTCGGCTTTCATCATGAGGCGTCATAGTTCCTCTAAATGAAGACCTTCTGACTCCCGGGGCAGAGTTTAAAAGGTTTGAATAATTTTTTCTGGTTAGCGTTTTTTAGCGAGTTAGTTTTCTACGGGAAGGGGACGCTAACTCCATGCCCAACCCTCCTCCTTTATCCGGGCTTGGGACCGGCAGTAGCCCCTGGAGGGACTCCAGGCAGAGTTTCATGAATTATTACCATTACTTCATTTTATGTAATCGACTTTCGGCAAAATGATCTATATAATATTTCTTGATAACTACTACTTAATCGGTCAAAATTGAATATTTTTTAAAAGGATTCGATTCTGTAGCCTGTTGTTTAATATTCCAGTACTTCAGCCACTAAGTTTAGGTGCTCCACACTTTTGCTTTATACACATGGATTTGAATATATTCTAGCCGCATTCCACAAGAAAATAGACTCCAGGCAGAGTTTTCGACCACAGATGCCTTAGAAATATTGCTGGCGTCTGCTTGGATCACCGGTTAAGTAATAGTGAGGTTAGGCTCAGGGTATTAGGGAACGATGGTAAATCAGTTGATGAGGTTGTGAATCTTCATCGACTGAGATGGTTGGGCCACGTGTTACGTATGCCCGAACACCGATTACCACGACGTGCATTGCTAACCGGTGTTCGGGATGGTTGGAAGAAAGTTAGGGGCGGCCAAATCAAAACGTGATATCAGTGCTTGAAGTCAGTAATTTGTAGTCTGAGCCATGTTGGTAGATGCAGACTACTTGGTTGGGGTCCGCGTGACTATCGTAACCAATGGTTGGAGACTCTTGGTGACATGGCTCAGAATCGGTCACAATGGCGTCGGTGTATACACTCTCTGTCTTCTCTTAAACTAAGAGATTGAAATCGCTTCATATCTTTCTTTCTACGAACCAATTCTTTCTTCTTGTACTATATCTCTATATGCAATCTTTCTTTTATATATTACCACCTCTGAATTAACTACATTTATGAATCCGGTGTCCATCATGTTGTGTTAATGAGGTATGGCAACTTGGACCGATGCATATATGTGCCTGGTCCTACGTTGTAGCTGACTGACTGCAAGTACGATAGTGTCCAAACAGAAGGTTTGCGTAAAACTACCGCTGTTGCAGCTTAAAAGATACAACTTTAAATTGTCACACCTACTTTCAAATGATTATGCAACTGAGTCTGCGGATACTTTTTTAGTAGTTAATTTTCAATTTAAGTAAATCTTATAATTACCCTTCTTTGTATCAGTCATTCAGTCATACGTAACGTAAAACTTGGCACATATGTACCACATTTAAAGCTGTCGTACTTCATTAGTACGGCAAGATGAAGTTGTCAGGGTGAATCCCAGATTAGCAAAGGTAGTAATAGTACTAATGGTAATAAAAGAAATTGAGCATCAAAGAGATGTTTCGAGGGAACATAAATTGTAGGGGAAGAAAAAGAGTGAATACATCTAAACCTTTGCAAACTATTTTAAGCCATATCACCCAGTGCATCTAACCATTGGTTACGTCAATAAAACAGACCCCAACCAGATAGTTTGCATCTACCTACATGGTTCAACCTAATAGTCCTTGTTTTCATGAGTTGATGCTATGTCCTATTCTGCCCTCCCTAACTTTCTTCCCACTTACTGTCACACCATCCGTCATCGCACGTTAAGATGATCGGTGAACATAAATTAAAAATGGAGTCTTACACATGTTTTCCTGAACTCCGATATTAAGATTTAACAAAATAAAACTCAGTAAAGATCTTAATCAACCTTTAGATCAGACTAAACACAGAATGTTTCATGTCTAGACTTAATTTAAATCCCTTTGACTGTGAGATTAATAAGTACTTCTGTTTGGTTGATCCAAGTAGTTATTCATATAAATTACAATCGTTTAACCACCATATTCATAAATGAAATCATGTGAAGTATGAACTACTGTAAATTACGAAATTTCCTAATTTAAACTCAAACCATGTTTCGATATCAAATCGATGTCACTATGAGGATGGATAAGAGTTTATCACTGTTATTACTCACCAGAATTTCGTTTCATTATATAAAAAAATTCATACTCATTATGAAGATGTTGTACAGTTATTTAATTATCCACAATAACACCTAGTTATTTGTTTTTGAATATTGTGGTTAAATGTGTAAACTACATTCACTCTTTTCAGTTCTATAGAATTAAAGATGAAATATAATTAGTGTACATGATAATATATTGACAAAGATTAAAACTTGTCCAGTGTGTTTTTCATCCACTTTCTCTATCGTTTACATTTTTAAAAACAGTATTTTATGCATCATAATAGGTCTGATGGTACTCGTTTACATAACGTCGATGAAGTATACACATATTTATCAACAAGAAATTCAGAATGTGAAATTAATTCCAGTATAAAAGAATTAATCGCTGCTCATTTCATTTTCGCACCAACAATCAATGGTCCTTCACTTGAGGATACATTAAATTTTGTTCATAGATTACAGGGTTCTGTTTTAAAAGATGAATCAGTGAATGATAACGTTTCCCAATTTCTAACAACTGTATCAAGTAGTGTAAATAGTGATAGTGTTTCACAAGCCGTTAAATCATCAGAGGAAGTTTGTAAGTTCATTGTATTATGTGTATCTTTATTAGTTAGATTGTTAGTTTTTGTGTTTTAATGATTTCAATACCCTTAACAATTAATAAACCTCGTTATATTAACACATTCTTTTTTGTCGGAGAAAGAAAGAAAGAAAGGAATATTGAAATTCACGTACTTGATTGAAAAAGTGATTTTTATTTAGTTTCAGTCCACTTTTATTATGTTAATTAATATACATTGACTTCTCGTTCAAATGACACTTTTCAGTTTAATAAATTCATTAATTGATAATTATTATATAGTAACTCAAATATGAATTCTTTTTAAGTCTCTATCATTAAAGCACAATCATATAAAGTCTTGTGAAATATAAATCCTACCAAAGTAGAAGTATTATTAGAGATTCAGCTCAAGTTAATTCAAATGGTAACAAACACAAATTTCACATCAGCTGTATTATTCGTTATATCAGTGATGAAGACCATAAGTTAACAGTTTAGTTATTAACAAGTGTTTGGTTTAATCCTGATTAATACTGACGGGTACAAATATAAGACGGTATCAAATTGATAGACTCTGATAAGATAATGTCATGGATATTGAATTCTATTGTTAACCGCTACCAAAATACCATACATTTAACATAAATTAGCCATTAGTCGTAGTATACAATTGACCAATTAAATTTGAACGTAACTCGTACGATACTTGAGCACTTGGCTAGTTTGTAGTATTGCTAAATATTATCCATTTAGTGATTGAAGGTATAGATATAATTGAATTGTATATTAAGTATTTTCGTAAGTTTGATTATTCGTTTAACAAAACGCATGTTTGTTAAGAACAAATGAAGTGGTCATTGAAATGGAAAGTAGAAATTACATTAATATTCGAATGTTGAAAAATATTTGCAATTTTTCTGTAAGCCGTGCGTCTGTTAGAAGTAGTGTTTGATTGGGTCTGACAGTTCGAAAATTGATTGTAATAAAGTACAAAATATTCTGTTGAAAATTTTAAGGATCATAAATATGAGTGAATGTTATGTAACACTTACTTACTTACTTACGCCTGTTACTCCTCGTGAAGGAGCATAGGCAGCTCACCAGCATTCGCCATCCAACCCTGTCGTGGGCATTCCTTTCCAGTTGCTACTCATCTTTTTCATGTCTGCTTCTATTTCCGGACTAAGAAAAAAGCAGCCTAATAGTAAAAGTCATTCACAATCAATGTGATACCTAGCACCATTATACATCAGTCAAAGTTGCCACACCAGATTAGCATGACGAAATGAAATGAATCAGATGAATGATGAAAGAAGTATTAGTGGTAATAAGATTGAAGCATATTGTTCGAAAAAAGAGTAAATATTAGAAGGCGAAGAAAGTATTGAATCTCAGAACCTAAGGAAAGATAAGGAATGAATACAGCTTTAATGTTAGAAATAATACCCCACTCCATCTAAGGTCTCTACCGAGTGATCATGATGACCGGGTAGATACTAATCAAGTAGTATGGACCTACCGAAGTGAGTAATTTCCTGATGCCATAACTTACTTCGACCATTGGTACTGCATTAGATTGTGTATTGTAGTTAGTCGTTTTATTATACTTTTTGTAATCGTAATTTAAAATCTGCTAACCTGCTGGTTCTTCCACTCTACTCAGGTTTATATGCTTATGATCAAATGTCACTCACACGTTGTTCCATTATTGTGACATCACGTGATTTGTAATCGATTGCAAAATGTTTAAGCATTTAGAATAGTTCTTCTTAAAACAAGAACAGAATATATTAAATTATTGTGAGAAAGTAACTACACTTCATCCAGTTAGAAAAGACTGTCTATGGAGTGTACAACAAAAAGTTGTAGCAATGTTGTTCCTGACTTCTGTTATTGACTTCCATGACGTTTTAAATCTATACAGGGAGTCTTGATGAAGCGATAATTGCTAATCAACAATAAATATCATTCATTTCATTGCATCATGTTATAGCCTTGTTAACTTGTCATGTTTTCCACCTAATCACATCGCAAAAAAATAATGTTCGGTATAAAAGCAGCCAGTACTCGACATGAAGTTTTAAAGTCGATAAATTTGATTGTTGAGTCACTAGAATCTTTCAAAATCTTTGTGGTTTTCGTCTATTTAGTCCATACTAAAAATAAAAATTGTGAGTTTGACAATTGGAGTCAGCGAAACGTTAAAGATCATTGGCGTGTCTACTGCATAATGTAGGCGCCAAAAGGACAGTTAAATCTTGACAATTAGATTTACAACAACGAAATTATACTCATTGGGTAGTTGCGCAACGGTGTAATTTTGTAATTTGACTGTGCTTATATAATAATATCGAGTAATTGAAAGAAAGTATTATAATAATCAGTAATCATTTGAGAAATTCAGTTAAACAGTTACTAGATTACATAATATTTACAAAGAATTAACGAAACATCTTGATAAAGGGTCAATATTATAGTAACCCTTTAAGACTCAACAAACAGGCTGAAAATATGCAAAAATACAAAAGTGAAAGGAATTAAGAAATTTTTTTTGAAAGAATGAGTTTCATCAAAGTTCAGCTACAACTCATTCTGATATCAATGCTCAAGATAGAGAAGGTGGTTGTACAAGCTTCTTAGGAAAATGGGTTCCGATAGCTTCAGCAGTGTCTACAAAACGAACTTGTAAACCTTGCGATGAATTTGATGAAATATGGTTGTAACCGTAAAGACTTTATTTAGATCAATTTGATGTCTTTGTCCACTAAGTGAGCGAAGATAGAGCACTTAGTCATTCTTACTTGTTCTTTACTCAACCAAGATGGATGGTGTTTTGCTATGTTATGATGGACTTGTGGGATTGTACACACTGTACAAGTGGTTCCGCGGGAGCAGTTGAGTTAATAGCGAATTGGTGGTCTCCATTATTGGACGGTTGTAAAAAACGCGTTTAGTTTGGCTGCCATAAATGTTTTCTGCACAATCTTTTCCTCGATTGTCTCACTTAGGGATTTCAAGAACAGTAACCTCTTCGGGACGGTTGTTACCCTGTGTCATATTTTCACTTCGTTCATGTTTTTGATATGCATTCCTACTGAGTAGGCTTCAATGAGTCTGTTAGTTGCCTTCCAATTTATTTATTGTCAAACAATACATAGAAAGTCCACAAGCGGATAATTTACTCATTTCCATAGTGCTGTATCAGTTACGTATGAAAAAACAGTAAAAAATCTGTCATAGTTTCAGAATGCTTTGCTCTGATGTCATCATTGAAGATTAATTGAGTAATGTTCATAATCTGCTTAGTAGGAATGTATATCCAACGAAATTTGTCAAGAAGCACATGAATGTAGAGCCATGATGAATTATTCTGAAGGAACCTGCTTCGCTCTTTTTGTTTTACTAGATGATGATTTTTCATTGAAATGTTTAAATCAGAGAATGATATACTGTAAAAAGAACTTTCTTTTTAATGACAAACAGTTAAATATCTAAAAGGTTTTGAGAGAAATTTGAATAAAGAGTTTTTACATCGGTTTACAGCTACTTTTATCACATTATTTGTTAAATTTTAAATCCTCTGTAGAGATAATTTATGTTATGTTTTTTAACAGCCGCCTGTCGTGTTACGTTCAACCCCGATTATTTACCAAGCTCGGACCTGCCAGCAAAACGATCAAAATTATCTGATGATTTACTTAGTTCAGTTTGTAAGCCAAAAGAGCCATCTACATTGAAGGGACAGTCCGTTAACTGTTCAGTCAATACAACTATCAGTGCATGTCCTACACAGTCATTTGTATCATCGAATAATTGTGAACTGAATATTTTGTGTACTGATGCACTGCATACTTCACCAATTGATCGAATTCGTGAAGGACCAAGTGATTTTGAAAATAATCAATTCACTCACAAACAGAACTTGAATAATTTGAGTAAGAATGAAGCTGAAAATTTCGCAACTTCGTCTACTAGCGTATTTCCTGATGATATATCTTCCAGTCGAATAAAACCAAGTCAGTTGCAGAATGATAGCGAAGTAGTTGCTAAACTTACCACTGAAACCCTTACAACTGGCGCCTTGCGTACATCGTTAGCATCACTAACTACTGAGGTTGTTCCGTCCGTTATATCTCCGTCCAAGCAGATTGGTGTAAATGCTACAAATTTTAGTTTATCAGACGCTACTAGTTCATGTTTCGATCCATCTCAGGCAAATTTAGCTACACTGAACGTCTTGCAACAAAATTCTGTTAATCCACTGTTCATTGAACAATTACTTGGAATCAGTCAAATGCGTCATATTCAACATCCACAGCAGCATAATCATAATTTGAGTTCAGGCATCACGGTCACAGTACCGACACAAAACATCATAGGAAACTATCCATTTGGTGTTTTAGCTAGTCAGTCTCTATCAAATCCTATTTTATCATCTTTAACAGCTGAATGGCTTTCAAATCTTCGTTCATCTGCACAACAATCGATAACTAGTAGTACTCTGCCAGAGTTGACACTGAATTCAGCTATTGACAATTTAAATGCAACTTCTGTTCTTCAGCAATATCAACAACGACAACATTTCTTAACTCTGGCAGCCTTACAAAAACATCAGCAAAATCAAGCATTAGCCCTGATTCAAAATGCCGTCTTGCTCCAACAACAAAGGAATAATAGTGTTGCAAACGCTGCTGCACTTGTCTTACGTCAACAACAAGAGCAACAGTTGGCAGTAGCTTCTTTACAAGCCCAAAGTTATATAGCTGCTTTGCAACAGCAGTTTACTAATTCACATACCTAAAATAGACTTCTCATTACCCCATTAATAATAATATACATAAGTAAGAGATCGATTTATTCACACCGTTCTTCATTGGTATGTTGTATATCACACATATCTGTTGACAAATGTCTTTCTCATTTGATTCATTTTTTATTGATTTTCTCCTTACATTGTGCCTACGCTAGTCTGATGTATTAACAGTGATGATATTTGATAATACTAGTCGCTCCTCAAAGGTATACTCGTATATGTACACATGTTGATACTGGAATTTCTGCTTTCCTTGCATTTCTTTTCTTTTAACTAAAAACTTCTATTCATTTTGAGTTTGTAACAGTGTTCTATAACTACAGCACTGACTTCTCATTACCATTCGGTCCTGTATTTAAATGTTATATTGTAATTATACTTTCCTCTCAAATCTTATTTTTTGGTAGTATATTTATATATTGTACTATTTGATCATTATTTGTATAGCTATCTTTTCTTAGGTGTTTCTGTGCGTTCGTTTCCATTTGTATTCTGTTTTTCTTTGTTTATAATATTCTCTCTCTCTCTCTCTCTAGCTTTCATCATACCTTTTACCTAATCATATTTTGAACATGTTATTATTACTACTATTATTACTAAAGACGGCATGAACAATTGATACACTCTTTCCTATTTAACTAATTTCTCATTCTGTTAATACCATATAGCTGAATCTATCATTTCAGGTGTTGTTACATAACTGGAAGAAAATATGTGTTAAGCTATTTTTCACAATGGGTGGCAGCCTTCTTATAAATAGTATATATTGAAGGAAATTAAAATTATATTAGTAAGAAAGTGTAATGCTTTTAGTAGTGGCCCAGTTAAAAAATGATCAGTTTCCTTGCACTACTGTCTGATACTCATCTACTGAAGATGCTTACTTTGTATGTTTATGTTAATTTATGTGAACTGGATAGTTCAGTTATCAAGATTTCATTGTCCTCGTCAACTTCAACATTTGATCCAAGTGGAAGTGCATTTTTCAGATTATTCTGAAGTAGTGAATACATCCTTCGTTTGCGACAGGTTGTCTTCGTAGGTGTTTGTAGTCTTTACTTTCCGTTCGAGAGGAAAGAATCATTATTACAAATCAGATTAATTATTGAATCAAAGATTGCTTGATATGTACATTGTTGTGAATAAAGTATGGTAAAGTTTCGTGAATGTCTTAATTTCTCAGATATTAGTCTCGAGGAACATAGCTGCTTTGTCACAGTATGGAAATCCATAGTAGTCCGTACCCACAGCCCCTTAGTTCTCGTGACAAGTGCTAAATTATTAAGACCACATGATTTCCGTTCTGTAGTATAAATTTGCAACTTTAATTGTCATGATACAGTAAGACAATAAATCCAATACCACTTGTACCAGCTGTTTAACTCCTGACTTGTAGACACTCCGGGAACTAATCATTGATACTTCAGGAAGTCATCTCTAAGTAACTGAACTGACCTACGATTTATGATATATCGAAAGACTAAAGAAATGGTAAGTTGCAAAACTATTTTATCGTTTATCATTATGTACACACTGTATACTTGTGGTGTGAGCTACTTACGTCCACATAAGTAGTATATAACGGTGATCAAGCATAAAATGTATTTCAGTAGAAGATCGATGAGGAAAGAACGGGAACGAAACGCAAATGGTATGAAAATGCATGAACAATCAAATCTGAGACAATGGAACAATATTTGCGAAGGAACAGTCAAGTTTGAGATGATGGATTGATATTTTGCAAATTAACTATTTACTATATGGTTCTCAGATTTTAATGAGATGCTCTGTAATTTCGTGTCAAATACTGGACTGTAGATAGAATGACATGTGCGGTGAAAAATACTATAGTCGGGGTATTGATTGGCGGCTTTATCAATTTTAACATATAAGCTTACCTTATAGATTGGTGATTTTTTGTCTTTTAGAAATTCCTTGTCTCTCCAGCGTTGTGGCTTGTTTAAGCTACAGCCTATAAGATCGGACAGACTAAAACATATTCTAGTTACCACCAAATATGTAACTTCAGTAAGGATGTTAACAACTTTTCTTGCATCTAACCATTCTTTCTTAAACCTAATAATCATCAGTGAACGCTCCCAGGTCATTAAGATCACCTCTAATCCAGTTTCCTTTTCTGGTACCTCCAGAAGAACCCTTCCATGGTGTGGGAAACCGAGAAGTGATAATTACCTTCATACCTCTAACAGCACTCAAGATCACTGTATTCATAATCAATCTTTCTCTGCAATTCCCATTATTCCATCTACATTGACTTTCAACTCTAAATTTCCTTTTTTGGCTTCCTCCTCAAGTGTCACCATGGTCAACGATCCTACTGCGCAAAACACTGTCCTATGTCTTCCGAAACCTCGCTCTAAACTACACATTGTTGCCTTCAACGTACATACGCTATGTCAAATCGGCCAGTACGCATCCTTGGATAAGACCCTAGAATCTCGCACCATTGATGTATTCTGTATTTTCGAAACAAACATGCAGGATCCTAGTTTGGTCATTCACTTGACTTCACCTCGCCAAAATGAAGAACCGACGAGATACACACTCCGTGTATATGGCTGCCCGATGGCCGGTTCTCGTGGACTGGCAGGTGTAAGCATAGCACTAAGTATGAGAGCAGAACAATCACTATTAGAATGGATCCCCGTTAACACTCGCATATTTACTGTTCGATTAAACGGCTCCCTAGGATCTTGGAAGTTTAGGGACACACGTTACCTTTTCATAGTTCTTGCTTACACTCCCACTGACTGCAACGTGGATGAAGTAATAAATGATTTACAGAAAGCTTTCTTAACTTGTTCAAAAAGCTTAGCACTCAGACAGCACTGGTCGCAGATGACTTTAATGTCCAAGCAGGTAGCTTAAACCAAACAGAAAGACGCTTAGGTGGGTATTTTAGTATTCTGGCTCAGCGAATAGATAACGGTGACTGCCTGTTGCAGCTGTGCTCGGACAATCGTTTATTTTTAGCAAGCACTAATTTTAGGCATTATGAGAAACATCACCCAACATGGCGACCCCTGCACCAACGATGGACTCAATTAGACCACAATGTCATCAGTCATCGTTGGAGAAGCTCAATGGAAGACTGTCGCTCATTCTGGAATACCTATTTAAACTCCGGTCATGCTCTAATACGAGCACGAATTTGCTTGCGCCTCACTGTACTAAGAGAAAACACATTAGAATCGAACTGAGTGACGAGAAAGCCAAAAGTAGATACTAGGAAAAACTGAAGTCACACTTGGGTATTTCTGAAAACGAGTCTGACCCAGATGTTGCTTGGAAAGATATACGAACAGCTGTGGAAACAGCAGCAACATCTATTAGTGATTTGAACCAAAGGGTCACGAAAAACCAGTAGATTTCTTCTAAGTCTATTGCACTGATGAATTCACATAAACTTATCCCATCAGGCTCTGAACACGATGAAGGTGGAAAACAAATCAGATCTAGGTTAACCAAAAGTCTAAGGAACGATCGTAAACAGTGGTGGGCAGCGAAAGCAAAAGAGATGGAAAAAGCATTTGTTTATTATTGATTGATGCACAGTTCAAGAACTAGGAACACTGTTTCGAAATCAGTGATTCTTAGTATAGGGGTTTTTGAAATTTTTGGAGACAATCATTTAATTCAGAACAATTTGTGCGTAATCAATCCAGATAGAAAAAATTAATGTACCTACATCAATGAAAACGTTTATTTGTTGAAACTGGGAACTACCGTTGTTCCATTATCAATTATCTGCTTGGTGTAATTTGAATCTGATTGCTTGAATTTGTTGAGCATTTACTGTTCAAATAACTGGGTAGCAACATTATACATTTGAATTTATAACTGTATATAATACCGTTCATTATCTAAAGGCTTGTTTCTAATTTCGACTGAACAGGAGCGCAACTGTATGAAATAACCTACAAATTCTTCCCCATTTTCACTTCTCTTTGGTTTGAATATAATCACTATTACTGAGCTCACGTAATAAAACCCCTTATCTGTGAACGCTGCACACCTTTGATGTTTCTGATAGACCTAAGTAACTTAAATAATATCTAACCCGAACAATTAATCATAAATCAATAAAAAATGTTACATTATACACTTCTGTTATTGTTCTTCAATCAGTTCCTTCGTTGTAGGTTATTATGTTCGCTCCGCATTGGTACAGAGAATGACTAAAAATACACAGTTTATTGATCAGCAGGATGTCCACTTACAAAGAATGAACGGTTTTAAACTGATGCCACGTATAGGAACTTTCGTCTAAATTTGACCAAATAGTTTCACAGTAATTGGGTGTCGAGTTGATGTGAGACATTAAGGAGGAGAAATGTATTTGTAAGATCTCAGGAAATGAATTTGAAGTAAATTCAACGTTTCGCTTACAAATAAGGACCATTCCTTCAAAAACCTTGGATCAGATTGCGAGTAGGATCGTGGACGCGCACTGCTGAGGAGTCCCGCAGTAGGACGAAACGGCCGTCCAGTGCTTCCAGGTTTCCAATGGTGGTCTAACGTCAATCGGTTCATAATATCAATCAAAATACTGTTTTCCCGTGTATTTTAATTTGTGTGAAAAACATGTACAGCCTAATTAACTCTTGATCAATGATAATTGAATACCTAGGATGAAATTTTTGACCACCAATAAAGGCACTGGTCGGCTGTTTCGTTCTGGCATGAGACTCCTCTCAATCTTGCGTGCCGATCGTCACAAGCTAGGACAAAAGGGCAGTCCTGTGCTTCCAGGTTTTCAATGTTGGTTTATTATGAATAGGTTCATGATTTAAATGAAATTTATCAATCATATGGACGTGTGCTACTTGTGAATGTAAAGATGTAGCATGGGTCAAACTCTCGTTAACTGAATTTTCGCGCGATAGGAAGACTTCATATGGAGTAACAGACTTAGCTTATTGTATCGATACACATGTATGACTAAACGGTATGCTCATAAAACTGGAAAACATTTCAAGGGTAACCAGATTTCTCTAGAACTTGTTTACTGCAATCTACTATTGAGTTTATTATTGGTGCACAGCCTCAATATCATTATTTTTATCTACTATACTCTACAAATAATAATTTTGACATCTTGTTATCTTAAAACTATTCATAAAGAAAATGTCAACAAATTGTTACTCTGAAGTGACGAGTATATCGGCGTAATAATACTTCCTGATAACAAGTATAAATCAAGAATCTGCATAATCCAATTCGTTTTGTGGTGACAATAACAGGACAAATTAGGAGATGGTGTATTCGAAAAAAGGCAAACTTGTAATACAGTAGTGCGACATTAATAATAAATTATTGTTGACACTTCCGGAATTTAGTATTTTTGAAGCCATATCTATTTTACAGTATAATTCACTTTACCAAATATTTTGTTGACATAACTGGAAATTAGGTCGTAGTACAGATATGAATCCTCGATATAATTTCAATTACATAAATAATCAGCCTCTTGAGTAAATGAATGTACATATTGTGTTTAGTTATTCAAAATCAGCATTATTTAGTTTGATACTAGATGTTGGCTTCTAATCTAAGTCATGTCATACAAGTTTCACCGATCTAAGAATCAGACTCAACTTATTATTTTAGTTATGACGACGCCATCATGACCTTCACGAGTTTTCAGTCGAACGCTGAGGCGTTTCATCTTCACCGGATAATATGACAACATGAAGCTTATCTTTTTGAAATTAGTTCTTAGTAGATGATTTACTTCTATGAACTTACTAGAATTCAATGCCATTAGTTTTACTTAAATATATTCGTTTTAATCGAACAACTTTGTGTCTCAAAAGGATGATCGCAGTGTAAATTAGTTCAAACATAATTAGTATTCTGTGGTGTTTGTATGAACTAATGGTTCCTTTCGCTTGATGACTGATAGATTTCGAATTCAAATACAATACATTCGTTCGTTCTCATCTAGTACTTTTTGGCTAATTTTAGTTATTTCTAAGATTTCTAGTTTGTACTATAATTCAAATGCCCCTTATTATCACATTGGCTTCGCGATGGAGCCTATAATGAAATAGTTGGACATACATTCAGATTTTGATGCTTTTGAGGATTATTTGGAAAGTTTCGAAATCTGGGCTATTACCAAGGAAGGTGTTGAAGATGTT